AAGAAACTCATATCTGGACAACGATTTGAAGGCAAAACCAAAGTCGTGAGAATGGATGTGACGAGTGATGAAGAAGTGAAAGCAGTTTACGAACAAATTCAGAAGGATTTGACTCAAAATGGGGAGCAGTTGTGGGCAGTGGTCAACAACGCCGGTATCTTAACTCTTGGACCTCTAGATTGGGGAACAGTAGACACTTATAAACTTATTTTCGAAGTCAACACATTTGGTATGGTTAGAGTCTCCAGAACTTTCCTACCATTGATTAGACAATCAAAAGGTTAGTAACAAAATTAATTCTCATTATTCATGACCTCCTAATCACTGCAAAGTTTAGTTATATAGAGTGTCCTTATATTTTTTTATAGAGACGAGTTTAAAATTAGATTGAATTTTGATTTCCCTTCACCTTTAAGCAAAGGCCTTCCCTTTAATTTGAATTCAATGTTATTTCTAATCTGTAATCTCAGGTCGTATTGTGAATTTGGTGTCAATGGCCGGGCGTTTGACGCCCGAGAATCTGGGCATCTATTCAATGAGCAAACACGCGGCCATCTCTTTTTCGGATGGACTCCGACGTGAGACCCGGAAGTGGGGAATCAAAGTATCGACGATAGAGCCGACCGCCTATAAGACTCCGATGGCTGGACCCGATTACTTCACTCGGGAACTGGAAAAACAGTGGAACGAGAGTTCGGATGATGTGAAGCAACTGTACGGACAGGCATACTATGAACACTTCAAGCAAAGGAAGGACAGGCTGACTGTGGCCAAGACGGGCAAAAATATCTATGAAGTGATCGACAAAATAATTGATGCCATCAGAAGTCCTAACCCACAAATCAGATACGTGGCCGTACCGGGAAAGGCATACAACAAAATTGCTATATTTTTAGCACAACTCATGCCATTAGAAATTTATGACTCTATCTTCGCTCATAAGAGTACCCGAGAACCCAAACCCTCAGGTCTTCAGCGACTTGTAAATGAGGAATAATATCATAATATTTGTGAACACAAACTCACTATAAAATTGAAAATTGCTGGTTATACTTTTATTTATATTGATACTAATAATCCACTACAAAGTATCTAATTGCTGTGTAATGAAATGACATTTTAATGTGTACTGTACTGTATACTATAGTAAATTATTATACAAATTAGTAGTATTAGTAATTGTAGTAGTTAAATAGTAGTTTAAATATTGTATTTATATCATATTTTACAAATTATTTAACTTAATGATAAATTTTGACTAATATTTAATACAAATGGAAAAGTTCACAAAATTACCAATACTATAAACCTATATTTAATACGCTTTATCATTTATTAGTGTTTTTATTTTTATTATATTTGTAACTAATTAATTTAATGACAATAGATTCCATGTGGATAAACAAGTGTTTTCTAATTTTTAAATAGATATCATATAAACATTTCATTTCACAATACTTTATTTATAATTTTTGTTTTACATATTAAAATACAATTTTACTAATACACAATTTCATTAATATAAAGTGTGAGCTAATAGTTAAGTAATTGTCATGACTAGTATTGTAAATATTGAGATTTATTCTAATAATTTTATTTCAAATGCCTTTATTAATAAAAATAACAATTTAACGACTGTTTAGTCTTATATATAAATATTAACATTAATATAGTACTGTATTTTTCATAAATACAGCTTTGTTTTCTACTCGAGATAACTTTATCAGTTAAATATAGATACCCCTTATTTTCACTCAAACCAAATCAAAGTCAATTCTATATTTATTTGTCTTATATTTGCTTTTATATGACATTTCATAGAGTGTTGAGATTTAGTAGAGTCTAGACTTCTGGGTCACTGCGAAAATGTCTTTAACTAAAATATTTTCTTTGAAATGTTTTATAACGCAATATATTTTGGCGTTTTTGGGGTTATATTTGGCGGTTAACGTGAGCTGTTGTTTCGGAGGTCTGGTCTCATGGGTGGGCCGTATGTTTGTGGTGTCGGCACTGGCCTGGGGTCTCACCAAAAAGATCCGCAAACGCCTTAATAAAGAGTTCCTCACTTCGTATAAGAGAGNTTTGTGGTGTCGGCACTGGCCTGGGGTCTCACCAAAAAGATCCGCAAACGCCTTAATAAAGAGTTCCTCACTTCGTATAAGAGAGCCGTTTTAGTAACAGGTATTGAAATAATATCTAATATTTTTTTATTTAATTAAATTAATTTTTTTTCGATATTTGTTGGAAAGGCTGTGACAGTGGTTTCGGTAATGCCTTAGCCCTGAAACTCAATGAACACGGATTCCGAGTCTACGCCACTGTATTGGACACAGAGAGTGAAGGCGCGAAGAAACTTATATCTGGACAACGATTTGAAGGCAAAACCAAAGTCGTGAGAATGGATGTGACGAGTGATGAAGAAGTGAAAGCAGTTTACGAACAAATTCAGAAGGATTTGACTCAAAATGGGGAACAATTGTGGGCAGTGGTCAACAACGCCGGTATTATAACACTGGGACCTCTAGATTGGGGAACAGTAGACACATATAAACGTATTTTCGAAGTCAACACATTTGGTATGGTTAGAGTCTCCAGAACTTTCCTACCATTGATTAGACAATCAAAAGGTTAGTAACAAAATTCAATTCATTATTCATATCACAACTAAACTTATAATCACTCGATATTAAACTGAAGTTATCTGTTGTGTCGCTATATTTCTAAACACGAGCATAACTTTTAATTGAACTTTGATTTCCCTTTAATGTCTTTCAATTAAATTCAATGTTATTTCTAATCTGTAATCTCAGGCCGTATTGTGAATCTGGTGTCAATGGCCGGGCGTTTAACGGCAGAAAATCTGGGCATCTATTCAATGAGC